CTCTCTTCACTTTCGCAGATCTTGGAGTACTTGCGTGTGGAGTCTGCGTCGGAGCTGCGCTGTCCCTTCCAGCTCCATCTCTACCTCCTCCTTCGTCTCCATCCTAACGGACCGCCATCCCGGCGGGTCCGGCACACCTCCATTTCATTGTCACAAAGTTTAACACGTATCTTTATGCAGCGGATGGCACCTTGCGACATCAGTTGATTGGCATCCCAATAGGGATTAATTTTGGTCCGGAGATAGCTAATTTGACGTTGTATTGGGATAAGGCTCGATTTCTTGATGACCTCCAGCGACGTGATCTTTGCACAGCTTAACGGTATGCGTTCACATACTGCTTGATCGACGATGTTCTCTCATGGGGACATCTGTCACCACCGTCAGAGCATTATGGCCTCGAATGGAAGGAGACCACAACGCCTGATGACTCTTGCACATTCTTAAGTGTACGCCTCCAAGTCCGCCCTGACGGGTCCCTGCGTATGAGTGTCTTTGACAAAGCAGCTGAATGGAATTTCCATGTTATTCGTTATCATAGTGTTACGTCCAACATCCCTGCACACCAACCGGCGAGAGTGTTTACAGACCAACTTACTAGGTTTGCGTATGTCTGCAACAACTGGTATGATTTCAAAACTGCAGCAGCTATGCTCACACGCCGCATGTTTTTTCGCGGGCACTCTCCAACAACGCTTGCGAAAGAATGAACTTCCTATATTCGTAAACGTCAACACAGGTACCCTATGCACGTGACCCGCCTTTCCAACTGGTTCCGCAGCATGCTTCGATGGTTTATTCACCACCCGCTTTCTCGGGTACCCACACACTGTCATCGGACTACGCCTGTCACAACCCCTTCTACATTACCAGCGCCTGTCACACCTATCACAGCCTCTTCTTCATTACCTGTGTCTGTCGCACTTGCATCCTCATCAGTTTTAGTACCCCTTCCATGTCGTTTGTTACCCTGGCTGCCCCTTTTGGGTTCGCAGCCTCTTCCTCATCGGCCTTGGTTGCTTTTATGATTGATTCCGCGGGAGCAACTCGACCCGCAGCTGATGTGTCACCCTTGGTCTCGGTGTATTCCTCCATGGCTTTCGTGGCCACCGCAGGTGTTGTGTCGCCCTTGGTCTCGGTGTGTTCCTCCATGGCATCCGTGACCACCGCAGCTGTTGTGTCGCCCTTGATCTCGGTCTGTTCCTCCATAGCGTCCGTGCTCATGCCTGCATTACCACTTGCAGAGTCCCCTCTTCGGGTCTCACCTACGACTGCCCCCCCTGTCTCTGCTTCAGCCACTTCACCACCCCTACTTTCATCCCCTCTGTCTTCACCGCCATTATTTCCCCTGGTTTTATCTACGTCTATTACCCACCTTTCGACTACTCTACCACCCCTGTCTTCACCACTCCTACCTTCCCAGATTTTGTCTTCATCCGTTACCCCTCTCGTTATTCCACAAACCACTTCTTCCACACAAACTCCGTCATCATGTTTTGCCCCTGCAGAAAGCCTACTTCACCATCCTAGACTCTGGCTTCGGCCTACTTCCCAACCTCAGCTTACTCCCTTTTCCTCCATCTCTGTTATTGGACGAAGAAAAACCTGTTCATTCTCCCCACCACGGCCCTCCCCAACATCCCGTCCCCGTCTTTTGCCGCCCCAAGCATCCTTACTACGCCTGCGACGCTCTTCGACTCCAGACCTTTCTGCAATGCGGCAAACACAAAATAGGAGGGATGATGGCGAGGTACCATCCGAGCATGAACTTGGCAAGGGGACTATAAGAGATTCTGTAGAAAATTCGCCTGACCGGCCTCCACCGAATCTGCGTGGCCTCGCTGCTACTAACATCTTCTTACAAGCCTATCGTCGAGAACCATATACTCACTTTAATTTCTTGGTCATTGCTTCTGATCTTGATGCTCAGGAACGTGAGTTATATGGCGATAACCCGACTTTGCATCCCCCACAAGATAGTAATTACACTTCACATGGGGGATTCAATGTTTCTGTTTTGGAGACTGCTTTGATAAGGCGCCGACTTGATATGCAGCGTGCCCCTTCGGGTGGCGGCCTGGACCACTATTCGCACATTTGTGCCTATATTCTACATGCTTCTGGCCATTACACCGCTTTTGTTCGTGCCACAAGTTCTTGGGAATTATGCAATGGTAGTGCTATGGTGCAAAACTATTATTGTCATCTGTGATCTCATGTGTCATTACCCTAACCTGCAACTGTTCCAGGTCATTGACCCTATGGGTACCTCGTGTATTTTCATGCCCGCCTCTACGCCTATCTCTGTGTCTGCCTCCATATCTGTTTCTGTGCCTGTTTCTGTGTTTGTCTCCTTCCAGATTACTGACCCTATGGGTACCTCTTGTATTTCTGTCCCCGCCTCTGCATCTGTCTCTGTGCCTGCCTCCGCACCTGTCTCAATGCCTGTTTCTACCTTGTGACCTCCTTCTCTGTGAGATCACTGACACAGTTACACTTGGTTGTGGAAAGCATCGACTTTGTCGACATCACTACAACCGTATAATATTTTGGGCCCGCTGTCAGCAGGGATGCCACCTGTATCCGGATTGTGAACATCCTCTACATCGAGATGCAGTATGTCTCATATATGCCTGCGGGCGCTATAGCGAATGTGCACTTAACTGTGATGGTGAACGCCCCATAATCGTCATGGCCTGCAACCGGCATGCCCCGGGAGGGCTACTACCATCGCTCACATCCTTATGACAGTTGTCCTATCTGTCGTGAGGGTCTTACTTAGATGTACCTTGCACCCTGACAAAAATGTGCAGGTGCACTGAAAAGAGTGTACAAGAATGTGCAAAGGTGGGAAATCCTTCACTAGTAAAACTGTAAAACAGTGAGAAATGCAGTAAAAAAAGAACATAAGTTTGTGTCATCTTACTTTGTTTGTTCCCTGCACCCTAACACCCTCAAAGGAAAAGTCCGAAGGGTGAAAATGAGAATGAAAAATGAAGAAATGCAGGTGCGCTGAAAACCAAACGTGGTAGATTCTTCACCAAAACTGCAAAACTGTGAAAGAAAGAAGAATGCAGTAAAAGAAAGAAGATATTTGTGTCAACTTTTTTTTTTTTTCTCCCTCCACCTATCAGTTTCCCTTTTCTACTCCTCTCTTCCTTGTGTTTAACACCTCTTCCTTCACTCTGCCTCTTTCCCATAATGTGCAAGTGGGTTGTTATGGCATATGGGGATGGGGGCAGCTCGCGCTCAACTTCATCAACGTGGCGAGCCTTGTACGTTAGAGGCACAGTGGAGGAGGCGTTAAGAAGACTGAGAAACTGAATGATTTCAATGTGTCTTTGTTTTTAATTTTTATCCCTTGTTCAGTGTAAATTTATTTTTTTTGTAAAACACTGAAAGAAAAAATAATACAGTGAAACAAAGAATAAGAGGACACTGTTTTGTGTCATTCTGGTTTGTCTGTCTTTTTGCCTGTCTGTCCTTTCATTTTTCTTTTCTTCGCTCATCTTATTTATTTTTCTACTTCACGTGCTTACGCTCTTAGTCAATAGTTATGTGACAATATATATATGTATATATAGTCAAACAGGGAGGTCCATGACGCGCTGCATGCTGGATTCGGGTCGAAGTTTTGGTGAGGGGCAGCAGATGAAGGCGATCGAGGACGGGGAGTGTGCAGAGGGCTGCGCGTACCGAAATGTTCACAGCGCACCATTAAAAGAGAGTGTGTGCCCCGGGGGCGGGGCACACGGCTGGCGTTGATGCGGACGAACATCTTGGAGGCGAGCCGTCCGATATGTGGGCGGCTTTTTTTTGTTTTGTTTTCCCCGCTGTCGTTTTGTGTCCCCCTTCTCCTTTTTTCATTTCCCGCGCCTGTCCTTTTGTGTCCCCCCTCTTTTTTCTTTCTTTTTTTTTTTCCTTCCTTCTTTTTTCCTTTCTCGCGCAGCGCTGTTGGTCGTCCTTGTTTCTGCGGAAGAACATCTTGGAGACAAGCCATCCGAAATGCAGTGTGAGGTCATCCACTGCATTTGTTATTTCTGCGGGCGTAGCCTGCACCTCCCCACGTGGCTGAGCTACTCACCAAATGTGCCTCATGAGAATGAAATTATTGGGTAAAACACGGAAAGATGTCCTTCCGGCCAATCGTTAAAATTGGAACCATGCAGAGAAGATTAGCATGGCCCCTGCGCAAGGATGACACTCATAAATCGAGAAATGGTCCACAAAAAAAATCATGAAAAAATGGGATAAGTTGCAAAATACCCTCATAAGTCGAGACATATGCCAAAATGCCCCTGAAAGATGTGGGTAGAGGGGAATGTCCTTTTGGGCCGAACTCCTCTTTGTGTTGTGCCCCTGTCAGGCGGGTGTGCAACTTTGCAATTTGGACCTCAACGTTTGGGCCTTGGCCTTTTGCAATAGCGCCTAGGAGAAGTTGGCAAGTACTGGGGCATTTTAAAAAGTTGGATGGTGCCCGTTAGGGTTATATTTCAAAGATGGGGGTCCAACCGACGCCAGGGGTATTTCACGAAATATTTTCATTGTCAGAGGGGCATCCCGCTCTACCCACATCTTTTAGGGGCATTTTGGCATCTATCTCAACTTATGGGGGTAGTTTGCAAATTTTCCCAAAAAGGAAAGAGAACACGGCAAGACACATCGCCATATGTTTTTTTTTTTTTTTTTTTTTTTTTTTTTTAATTGGCATATGTTTTGTCTTCTGTGCGTGTGGTCAGTAGTGGAGCGAGGCAGGCCATATATGTCAGCTGCATTTCCACCTACTCCTCCTCTTTCTACTCTTCGTTCTCCTTCTTTCTCTGCCGCCCCCCTCTCCTGGCGTCGTTCTGGGTTTCCCTTCTTCTCAATGCCGCCCTCTCCTTCTTCTTCTCGTCTCTCTCTCCTCTCCCTGATACTCTCCTCTTCGACATTCTTTTTTTTTTTTTTTTTTTTTTTTACAAAACAAAGCCCCGTTGTGCAAGGTCAAGTAGAGGAAGGACAAGAAGACAAAAAGGAAGAAGAGGAGGAAGAGGAGGAGAATGAAAAGTAGTCCTAATAGGAGAAGGAAAAATAGTGAAAACAGCATGATACTTCATGGCAATTTCCCCGACGCTTCTCGTACAAGCATCGATAGATTCCTCCTCCTCCTCCTCCTCCTCCTCCTCCTCCTCTTCCCTCTTTCTCCTTCCTTCTTCTCCTGACTTTCTGATCAGAGGCATCTCCTGAAGAGTGCCCGGAGTGCGGCCGGGCCGAAAAGCGTCGGGGAAAGTTCTATGAAGTTTCATGCTGAGAACAGTACATGCGGAGAAATAATGCGAATCTATCGATGCTTGTACGAGAAGCGTCGGGGAAATTTCCATGAAGTATCATGCTGTTTTCACTATTCTCCTTCTCCAATTAGGAATACTTTTCATTCTCCTTCTCTTCCTCCTCTTCTTCCTTTTTGTCTTCTTGTCCTTCCTTCTACTTGCTTCTGATCAAAGGCATCTCCTCCTGCTCCTTTGTCTTGTCCTCGGTTCTCATTGATACCCCTCCCAGGAGGTGGGGACCACCAACCACTGTCCTCAAGGGTAAAACCTCTGATGACAATCAAAGGAGACTGTGGGCCTCCCTCCGCTACTCTCCACATGCACAAACGACAAAAAATCTGGCGATGTATCCTTCCATGATCTATGAGAAGATTCATTCTCATTTTGCACATTTGGAGAGTAGTGGAGCGACGCCCTATCGGTCACTCGCACCACAGCGAAAAAATATTCTGACTATTTTTCATTAGCCTCCTCTTCCTCTTCTTCCGTTTGCCTTTTTGTCCCCCTTGTCTTTGCCGCTATCTGCGCCATCTCCTCCTGCTCCGTTGTCTTCTCCTCGTTCTCCTCCTCCTATTCGGACTACTGCTCATTCCTCTCCTCTTCCTCCTCTTCCTCCTCTTCCTCCTCTTCTTCCTTTTGCCTTCTTGTACCCCTTGTCTTTGCTGCTGATCAGCGCCATCTCCTCCTGCTCCTTTGTCTTCTTCCCCGCATTCTCCTATTCCGACTAGGTTCGTTCTGCTCCTGCCTCCTCCCCCAAGCACATAAAAAAGAAGAAAAGGACAGCATGCTGAAGTCATCTCAACGTGGCAACTCGTTATCCATTGACACGTGGCAGGAGCGCCGCTCCCATTCTCCTTCTCCTTCTCCTCCAACACGAAACGCGAGCTCGACAACACAGACTCTCTCTCTCTCTCTTTCTCTCTCTCTCTCTCTCTCTCTCTCTCTCTCTCTCTCTCTCTCTCTCTCTCTCTCTCTCTCTCTCTG